AGAATTGATTTTGTCAAATTACACACTCTTGTATTTTTTAATTCAACTCTTTTCCCTAAATAAAGAAAGTTATGTATATCTAATGATAGCGCTGACCAGACGAATACGTCCTTGGCCTATCAACAATCAGAAATTTTTTATTCAAGACATGATGTCATGTGCACGAGAAACGGTGCGTACATTGCAATGAGCTGACGGCGCGCAAGAAACTTTCTGTTTCTGTACTACACATATTCGGCATAAACGTAAGAATTGTAAACTTATAGTATAGATATACTTTATATCTATACATTTCAGGCAAAAAGTTTGGAAATACTTTTTTAAACATTGACACTTTTGAAATTACTTATTCAAATATCTATAACAATGTGTTTTTTTTTAACAATGTTCTTTAGATTCAATAATTGTTATTAGATCTGAAGAATTATTGTTAAAAAAACACAACATTGTTATGGATATTTAAGTAAGCCAAATTAAAAAAAAATTCATTTTTGAAAATATTTCCAAACTTTTGTCCTGGAATGTACATTAATTCTCAAGTTACAACTCAGTTAAATTGCAAAATTAAACGAAGAAAAGTCTTTATTATTCATGTATTCTAAATATTTAATCTGATAATATTTAACCTGATAAAATTTGTATAAGTTTTAACATGAAACAACTTTAAGATTGTATAAAATAATTGTAAAACTATATTTTCGCTTAAAATATTAAATTAATTTCTCGATTTAATTCCAAATTCTTCTTATAATATTATTTTCCTAGTTCACACTTTAAGACACAATACAGAGCGGTTTGCTCTTTTTTGAATATCTAGTATTTCCCACGTTCATGCTTGCTTCTTTCACTTTGATTTATGAATTTTTACGATCCCGATCGCTTGTATGGGCCCATGCCACGGTAGAAAAGAATTTATCGTGAGACTCACCGACGCGATCTGGAAGGGTCCAGCCACGAATTCCAATCTCGCTAAATCGTAAAGGCCCCTCCAAAGGTAGCACTCCGATTTTTTCAACGCGTCCACCAAGCGCTTGTGAATGATACGAGGTAGACTCCAGACCGGCGCTCGCGAACACTCATATTTTCTCCGCACAAAAATGGAGTACACTCGCGAGATCAGTTTGTCCACCTAAAAAGGAGTTTCTTTTTCTCTTTTGTTTTTCTTTTTAAATCGACGTCAATTCGACAGACGCGGCGCGTCGCGTCGCATCACATTGCGTCGCGTCACGTGCCGACTTACACTGTCGTGGCAACGAATGCTCCGCCACTGTGTTCCATAGCAACATCATCGTGTGAAGGCGGATCTGCTTAGTGATTGGTGTAAAGCGATCTTGGAAGGGAGAACGGAGAGGAACTTTGTTCGGACAGAGAGAAACCTGAGAGCGATCATCCCGGCTTTTTTCGTTTAACGCTCATACCAGCGCACCAACGTATATTTTTGAGATATGGGAACTAGATACCACGTCGATTTTACAAAATTGTCGATAAAATCGTAGTGTTGAAAATGGATGTGGTGTGCGTCCGTGCTAATAAGAATTTCCAGGATTCTTGAAATGTATTACTGATACATAAATATTAAAACGTACATTTAAAATCAAGTTTCTTAAATAATGTATACTCTGATTGAGCTGAGAAATATATGTAGTTGATAAAAGCAGTATTACATGGACGCTTCGTTAAAAAGTATTAAAAAAAAAGATCACACTATTATTCAGTGTAAATATTGAAAATCTATAGTATATACACAATATGAACTATAGATTTTCAATACTCGCGAATAACAGAACGCACCCGGGATGTAATATGTATACCTGTGGAAGATCCATAGCATTGTTCACATAGTGGATCTGATGGCTTGATTTATTCTCATAATTAATCACGCGATTTCAAATTTTGTATATTACAATATACAATATACTATATACGTATTTCGGCTATAGTCTGAGTCATCCTCTCAACGGTATCAATATTTAAATAACGAAATATCGATCAAGCAAATTAACTTGCGACCAAAGCGACTTTCCGCTCCGTTTCGATTATATGGAAGAGAAACTTCTTATGGAACGGAATTCTAGTTCAACTCAATTCTCTAGTAAGAATCCATGTATATGGGATGACATCCTGATTTCTTACAGTCCTTTGTTTTATATAATCAATTTTATTAGTTTAAAAACAAGGTTTTTTTTTTATTGAAAATAAAATTATACGTACTTGATTGTGAGTTTCTTCGCCCAAAAATTTGGTAATTCTGAAAAGAACTATTTAAATAATAAGTACTAAAATTAATTAGTAGTCAATCCAGATTCCAGTTCTTTTCCAGTTGAACGGTTCGAACAAACGATTACAGCAACTACTTGCTGTAATTGTTTGTTCGAATCGTTCAAATTTTCAAAATATTACACTTCAATATTAAATCAATGTTATTATATACATATATAAGTAAGATTAAAATGTAAAATTCTAAGTTAATCTCTATCAAGCTTTTCTTTATATTTAAATTTATCTAATAAATCTATAAAAAATTCTTAATATTAATATTTTCGTTCTTTAATATATGTGTTTTAAAAAATTTCAGATCATAATTTACAAACAC